TTGGTTTCTTATTTTTAAATTTTAAAATATTTAAATTTGGAGAGATGGTTTAAACTGTCTCCTTATTTTCCCTTTTTAAAGTAATGCTGCATGATTACATTATATAGGCTTCAGGCTTTCATCACTGAGAATCAACACATGTATATTACATTAAGGTCACCAATAAGAGTTCAAATATACCCTTTACCTTATCATTCATCTTAAAATTAGAAAAAGGAAGAAAACATCCCTGATGGCCAGAATGAGAGCAAGACTTTGTACTTTGCTCTGTAGCTCTTTCTCTGACTAAGCTTTAACCAAATCTGGAAATAGTGCTGGATTCCTGAGTCCCTGGGATCCCAGGAATTATCTTGGAGTGCTCTGTCCTTGCCTGCAGGAGTAAATCCCTCCAAAGATCCAGAAAGATGAATAAAGAATAAAACAAATGCTATTTTTGCATAGATGTGGGAGAAATTAAGTCAGGAATCATGAATTTCCAATTTGGTCTATGCCAATTACTGTGTGAAGTCAAGCTGCATCCTCTCTGAATTATTATGTTATTATGAAATCACGTATCTTATATACATATACATGTAGTGTTTAACATAGATGCTGGCACATGGCAATCACACAGTAAAATCTAGCTACTATTACTGTAGGAAAATTAATACTCCAGAGAGAAAAATACTAGTCTTTTTGTCTCTTCTCTTTACCTGCAGAATAAATCCCATCTGCGGTGGAGCCCCTCACACTGACTTTCACCAACTCGCTGGAGTGTGTCTGTAATCATCTCAGTAATACAGGCTTTCTACAGTCTTCTAGACAGTAATTCCTAGATAATTACTAATGCTCTTTGACAAGAGGTCATTTTTGAAATTTACTTGGCTGTGTTTTTCTCATTAACCACATTCTGCATAAATGTTATCACCACTGGGGTCCTGTCCTATCCCACAGTCACACAGAGTAGATGTGCTTGTACTCTCTCCTCTGTCCCCACATCACAGCCAGTTTGATCATCAGTACCATTTCTATGTGTCAATTTACCCGACTAACCTGACATTTTAGGAATCATCTTTTTTGAAGGCACTTTGCAAAAAAAAAAATTGATAAAAAGTAGCTCTAAAACGGATTAAATTAAAACTTATAATTAAGATTGATCAGAATGCAAATTTAATATCCAAATTTCAAGTTCCATAAATGGAATTAATTTGTCCTCTGTGAACATTAGTGATAGATGGGAAGGAAAATTCCTGTGTTATTTTATAACACATCAGTATTTAAAATATTCCTTATCATTTAAGACCCTATATCTACTCTGTTAAAATAGTATAGCATTCTTTATACTTGGGAGAATATCAAATATATTTTTAAGATTGTAGATTTTTAGAGCAGTTTTTGGCTCACAGCAAAATTAAGCAGAGGGTATAAAATTCTCCATCCTATGGCTCTCCCCTGCCCTATACATGCCCAGCATCCCCCATCAGAATGGAACACATCAGAATCACCTCAAATTCAAAGATTATATTAAGATTCCCTTTGGTGTTGAATATTGTCTGAATCTGGACAAATACATATGCATATGTATTCATTGTTATCCTGTCTCTCCTATTCAAAACTTCCTTCCAAATTCCTGTCAACCAGGGAATTTTTAATTGTCTCTATAGCTGTGTCTTTTCCAGAATATCAAATAGTTAGAATTATATTGTACATAGCCTTTTCAGACTGACATCTTTTATTCAGTAATATGCATTTAAATTTCCTCCATGCCTTTCAGTTTATTAACAATTTTTAGAGCTATATAATATTCCACTGCCAAGATGTACAACTAGCTGTGTATCCATTTACCTACGGAAGGACACATGGGATAATTTTAAGTTTTGAAAATCATGAATGCAACTTCTACATATATACAGGTGCAGGCTTTTGCATAGACATAATTTTCAGCTTTTATGGATAAATACCAAAGAGCAAAGTTTCTGAATTTTATGGTAAGGATATGTTTAGGTTTGCAAGAAACTACCATGCTGTCTTCCAAATCAGCTGTATCACTCTATATCCCCCCCAGAAAGGCTCCTCCTGGTGCACACACTCATCAACATTGGGAATGTATGTGTTCTAGATTCTGGTAAATCTAATAGGTGCATAAAGGAATCTCATATTTTTTTGTTTTTATTTTAACTTCCCTGATGATATGTGACATGAAGCATGTTTTCTTATTCTGGCTGCCATCTGTGTATTTCTATGGTAAGGGGCCTGTTGAGACATTTGGTCCATTTTTAAAATCAGATTGTTTTCTTATAGTTGAGTTTAAGGCTTATTTTTAAATTTATGCAAGTGTACATAGATAAAAATAATTATGTGTGCAGACCAATACTATAAAATAAATGTTGCACATGTTTTATGTGCATGTATGAGCTTATATACCAGTATGTATAGATACAGAAATGTGGAAATTACAGCCTAATATAAATTAAAATGTTAATCATGTACATTTTTTAAGTGATGAGTTTAAGAAGTGAATTTGCTATCACTTTTACACTATAAAACTACTAGTTTGTGTGTAACTTAATGTTTAATAACTCATCACTGATCATGGAAAGTATATGTTTTTGCTTATTAATTTGCATTTGATAATTAGTTCCCTAAGTCAGCATTACATTGCAGGGATAATGAATTAGTACTTGAAAGTTTCTAAGTAGAAATCAACACTCTTGAAGGAACTACTAAGAAAGCTTCAGTTATCTTCTGCAATGGATGGCACTGAATGCTTACTAAAAGAAATTTAAAGTTATTAGTAAAATCAGTGACTTCAAGACATATAGGCTAGCAAAAAATAATGAACAGGTGTACTCAACCTTGTAAAAACAGTGTGCAAGAACTGAGTGTGTGCATTAACCTATACACTTTAGCATGGCACTTGAGATTTTATTCTAAAACAGCAGTTTGTATAGACAGTGATGCAGAGAATTTTCCTTGGCGAAATTATACTAAAATATTACCATATTTACTTTGGGAGAACCTATCATGCAAAGAGTCACTGAAGCATTTTTAAATATGATAGAAGCATACCTTCATTGTGCCTACAGAACAAGCAACTAGAAAAATAAATTTGAGTAATAATGTATAATTATGTGGTGAAAATTAGGCTAAAAACTACTTTCATTGTAACCTAGTAAGAGGTTATAAGGTAGAGACCTAGAGTGAAAATATTCACCAAAATGAAACACATAAAACTGTGAATGACCACACGTACTTAGATCAATTTTCCAATATTATGGCCTGTCTTCAAATTCATACACATAATATTTAAGCTGAAGAAATGCATTTAAATTAATATATATTTAATAAAAAATAATTATCACTATATAATGAAAACTCAACATGATCTGGAAAATGTTCCCCAAACATAATAAATCAAAATTTGGCATATGGATATATTTAATATACATCTATCTATCTATCTATCTATCTATCTCTCTCTATCTATCTATTTCTATCTATTAATATCTACCTCAACCTATCAATTATCCACCCATCTATAATACTAAAGAAAAAAGAGGACATAGAAATAAATGAAAAACAAATTAACTATGAAAAATACTAGGAAATTATTGATGGAGACATATTGTATATGACATTTCAGGAGAACACAAATCACCAAAATAAAGTATTAATCAAAATCATAAAGGATTCTGTAACTATCAAATCCACATTTGTGGACAAAAAGGCACAAACCCAGACAGCTGAGCCAAGGTCAAAGCTATAGAAATGACAGGTCTATGGGCAAGCCCTGCCCCTATCAGCCAAGCTCAGACCAATTCAGCTGAAGCCCACAAGCTCTTGAAGTAAATTAATATTTACTATCTTATGCAGCTAAGATTTTGTGGTTGTGCATTATGCAGCCCTATTGAGACAAAGCAATTCCTTGTTAATATCCACATCATTTTTCTTTTGGGATTGAAAAACAATTTTTGAAAAATTGTATGGCCTAATTTGAGTTTTGTTTTTTTTTTTTTAACTCAGAGGCGTTTTATTTTGTGTTTTTATTATAAGGAAAATGGTTGTGGGCTTGGAACTCTAATATTCTGCACTGCAATTTGCCCATTTAATAAGAGATAATATCCCAGAAAATATTTTCATGGGGAAAAAAGTGATTTTTAGAAAGATAGCTAATGATAAATAGTTTTTATCTATATTAGAAAGTATTAAGCAAGTATCAAATGGATGACATAATAACCAAAATGTATTTATTGCTAGAATGCAAGGAGTTTTTCTATCACTGAAACTACATTAATGTAACTCACACATTAACAGATGAAAGAAGATAAGCAATTTGAGCAATTTGAGTATTTTAACAAGTGTATAAATGTATTCCAAAATGTTCAACAGAAATTGTCTTCTTAAAAAAAAGTTCTGGAATACTAGAAATAAGTTACATTATTACTTTATATACATAAAAAATCTAAACATGTCCTAGAAATTATTAAATCATTATCATGTGTATCAAACTTTAGCACAGTTGCTGGGCACAAGGTCTAATGAATATAAGAATTGACTGTAAATTTAAATACATTAACTAAAAATGAGAAAATTATTCTAAATAATAGGTTTATTAACATTGAGAAAAATATATGGTGCTAATATTGGATAAAACAAAACACACAATGTTTCTCAGAGAATTAAGTTTAAAATTGTTCAAATTCTCGGATAGGAAATCTTTGTGTCATAAACATACCTATTTTCCCTAAATTAATCTACAAATTCAATAAAAATGCAATTCTATTAAAATTACAGAACTGTAAAAATACTAAAGTGTGGGAAATTGACATGCTCATGGCTGAAAATCCCAATCACTTAATATTATAAATACACTGTATACTTATCTCTATATTCATATACATTGTCTAATGGAACTCAGCAAATGAATCCTGAGTCCAAAAATTGGGTAAGTGGCCCAAGAAGATAATTTTGAATTAAAACAAGGAGGAGTTATAATTTGTCCATATCTATCCTTTTCCTACCTTGTTCGTTTTTTTCTTTCTTCGCTAATAGCTGGATTGAGGACGGCACACATGTGACATTGTCAAATTTACCTCTGGTGTGTAGTTATGATTGTTCAGTCATATGCCATGCCACAGAGCCCAGATCCAAAATGCTTCTGACAGGTTTGAACAAGAGGTTTTATTTCCTTGAAATGTAATATGGAAAAGGAAAAATTATACATTGGAGCCTTAAATATCTATGCAAAATTGTTTAATGGGCAGTTGATAGCTTTTCCAGGGCCTCTGTCTCCAGGTGGGAACCAAACTTAAAGGTCACCTTCGGTGTCATCTCTTGTCATTCTGCACATGTTTCACCCCACTGAGTTCCCCAGGAGACAAGGCACAAGGAATGTTCCAGTCAGTTACATGCAACTTATTTCTGATTTTTACTTCATTTTCTGTCCTAGGCAACTGAGACTTACAACTTTGATAAAAATAAAAAAGTCTTCTTTATCATACTCTCTCCTAAAAAAAAAAGAAAAGATGAGTCATTGCAAAATTGCTTTACTCTGCCCACACAGGCCCTGTCTCAGCCTCAAGCAGTTTGGGAGGTCCAAACCAAAAAGAGAAAGAGTTAAGAGTGAAAAGGAAATGGATGGAAGACAGAAAAACAAAGGTCAAGGAGATGCCACATTTCTGTTGGTCTGCACCAAATAAGGCTTAATTCTCTTCTGGGGGATTTCTCAGCTTCTGGTACCTTTTCTTGCTTTTTCCTGGGCTGGGTGACAATATTTCAACTTACTATGAAAAGAGAAGAAAAGAGAGGCTTGTGCCCTCACTTTTGGATGACAAGAGGTCTATTAGCTGGATTTTGCTAAACAGCCAGCCATTTACCAGCCTCCAAGAGGTAAAACATTCCTCTCTTTTTCTCGCTGGAAATTGATATTCAGGAGGCTTTTAAACTCGACACCTCATCACTAATAGCATTCATTTTTAGCATATTTAGTAGTTATTTACTGGTAGTGGTTTCTCAGCTGTCCACAAAATTGAGAAGTTCAACTCTGGCTGTGTCTTTGAAGCAGAGACTTTTTTGGATTGTAGCAGCACAAATGTTGCTGGATTTTAATTTCAATAATTTCCAAGCAAAACCACAGCTACAAATTGAAGATCCCATTGCCTTCCCTCTAATGCAAGTTCTACCCTCCTGGCTAGGCGATACTTCATGAGGCTTATTAAATACTGTATTAGAAAGTAGAGAATTACAAGGAGGTTATCTTATTAAGCAAAGTATAATTCACTCCCACTTTATCATAAGTTTACTAAATTTAATTGCTTTAGACCTGCATGATGCCATTTAAAATTTCAAAAGGCAACTTGTTCAAGCTTTGGAGAGAATTTAAGTATTTGCAAGAAAATTTTTCCCTTAATTTTGCATATTCCTGAATTGAATTCAGATGGAAAGTAGGTTACCCTGTAATTTATGCCAGATATATTTGGCCCCTGTTATTTATGTTTGATACAAAATAGTGATATAGGTTTATGGATCTCACTATAATAATGGTCTCTCTCTCTCACTCACTCTCTCTCTGCATGCAAACAACTTAAATTTTTATCAAATAGGTCAGTCTGATATTCTGAACTCACTCAAAGCTTACCTGAGTTCCTTGTATGTGAAGTAGTAAAAATGAATTGACAACTTATTTCTATGAATTTTTCAGTTCCAATTATACATGCCTAGATACTAAATATTAAAAGAGTGGTATGCCTGGATGGTATTATCTAACTTCTGAGTAGAAATGACTTCATGAGCTATTATTTGATGTTAAACCCTATGCTTTTTAAAAATCAAGTAATCCTGGACTTAAATCCTGACTGGAACTTGTCCAAGTCTCTCATCTTGGGAATTTAGCTTAGCCTCTGCATGCCTTTATCAACTCAAGTATAAAATTTCAAAAAGCAGTATGTAGTTCACCAGCATTGTGGTGGAGATTAGATGAAATTATAGACCTCAGTTCAAAGTACATAGTATGTAGTTAATAAGTGTGAATTCCACTCCAGGATGGAGTGCTATAGGAAAAAAAAATCTTCTGAAAAATAGCTCTACAACTTTTTAAACCTAGAGTCGCAGACAGTGTTTGATTTACTTAATTTCTATTGCAAGTGAAATCTAATATTAATTGAGAAGAAATTTCCTTCCATTTTTTTCAGATAATAAAACCTTCCAAAACAATTTGTTGTTTTTCTGGTTGTAGTTTTTTGTTGGTTTTTTTCATTTTTCTCCCAGATACACAGGAAAATGGAACCCCAAATCATGTTAACCTGTACCAAATAGCTCACCCCAGATTCTGTGCATGTTATTTGTCTCTTTTTAAAAAAATCCTTTAACCTCCTGCTCTGTTGTATTTAAGTATTCATTTGTGCAGGCTACCTCATAGTCTTCAAACTTTGATCTTAATTAGAAGTATAACTCAGAATAAATTTGCTTAATCCTGGTGGCTGATTAGATTAGGAGCTATGACTGAGTAATACTAAAAACATGGGAAATGGTAGCATAAGTTCTGAATGAAATATACTGCAAAACTTAACATCTTTGAGCCTTGTGAGCCCCCAAAGTCCTAGCATTGGCTGCCCTGCCCTCTCTTGATGAGTGCCCAACCCCACAGGAAAGGATCCCTGCATTGCCCAGCTGGTTCCCCTATAAACTTAACCAGCTTCCTCCAACCCGACCCTCAACCTGATGGTTGGGCAACCCCCCTGCCAGTGTCCAAAATTATCCAAACAAACCAATCACATCCTCTTGCAAGAACCAAGTGTGACCTCATTTTCTTGTCACTCAATAGCTTCCTCCACCAGGCTGTGGTACTTGTGACGAATAAGCTGTTTTTGTGCATCAGTTCAGGGTCTCATGCCATGTCTGGAGTATTTAGGAAATACCTCCTTTGCCAATGGAGAGATAGGAGGTGGTCAGAACAGTCATGAATAGTGTGGATTGGATGGAGGGCAAACAATGAACCAAGTGGGAGGAGAACTCTGTTGATCTCTTTTATAAATATTGCTGGCTTGACAGCACTGTTTACAATAGCTAAGCTTTGGAAACAACCCAAATGCCCAAAAATAGATGACTGGATCAAGAAGATGTGGTCCATATACACCATGGACTATTACTCAGCATTCAAAAACGATAAACTCATGCAATTTGCAGCAACATGGATGGCGCTGGAAGGGATCATGCTCAGCAAAATAAGCCAGAAAGAAAAAGAAAAATACCGGATGGTCTCACTCATAGCAGGAATCTACAAAACCTAAATAAGGGACCAGGAAAAAGAATAACTATAAGAAAGAAAATATCAAAATCAACAAACAACTATGAACCAGAGACACTCTATGGGGGGTGGGGGGCGGGGAGGGGAGGGATTGGGGTCAAAATAAGGGGGTTACAATTGTATGGGGAATATAAAAATAAAATTTATTTTAAAAAAATTGCTGGCTTGAGAGGACAGTTCTGGGCTGGCTTATCCTTTTTTCTATTGGTTTGGAAATTATGGATTTTAGCTTCATTACATTAGTGACTGCTCTTAAGTCTTAACACAAATAAGTCATAATGAGGAGGGGACTTCTTGGATGTGCTTGCCTCTTGCCCTTTGCATGAATACTTGGAACAAGAACACATACAAACATGCACTAATAATAGCGCATAGAAATTAATGTTTAATGAATTACTGAAAATCATTGCTTACTCTCTGTCCCTAGTAACTTCTTTGTTTTATTCGATTGTTGAAGCAATCCAGTGACAACAAAGTGGAACCACGGCTGGCCTACAGAGCAAGCAGCAGGACCCCGTGGTGGAGCGTGCTGAGAAGAAACCTGAACTAACTCTGACCTCATCTTCATTATAATACTAAGATCTCCAGCTCTGCGGAGGTGTTGTCCTCCATTTCATGATCATCCCACTCATGAAGAAGCATATTTTACTATAGCTGCACAGGCAGCCGGAAGTCCCCATTAGGAGACACTTACTCTTTCTGTTGCTCTATCGTTTCCACTAATCTCAGCTTCCAGTTCAATTTCTTGTCTCCTCATCTCATTCTTTTTTTAAATTTATTTATTTATACAATAACTGGGGTACAGGCCAGATGCACAGGAGAGTGAGAGGATTCACCAGAGACAGAGCGGGGAGCAGAATATGCAGACGACAGAAATACACTGCTGAGGGGAGCAGCGGGCACGACAGGAGAGGTCTGCCGCACCATGTGGGATTCTCGTTGGCCAGCTGGGATCGAACCCGTGCTGCAGGGACTGTGGACAGCTTCACAGTGCTGCTCTCAACCACCTGCACCACCAGGGAGGCCCCTCATCTCATTCTTTTTTTTTTTTTAATTTATTGAATTAAGTTTAAGTCTTTTTTTTTTTTTTAAGATTTCTTTATTTATTTATACAAGCACTGGGTACAGTCAGAAGCGCGGGAGGGTGAGAGAATTCACCAGAGCCAGAGAGGGGAGCAGAGCAGGCAGAAGGACCGAAGTACACTGCTGAGGGGAGCAGCGGGCGGCAGGAGAGGTCTGCGCGCCATGTGGGACCCTCGCCTGGTGGCTGGGGATCGAACTGGTGCTGCAGAGGCTGCAGGCAGCTTCGCAACCCAGCGCTCAACCGCTGCACCACCGGGGAGGCCCTCATCTCATTCTTAAGGGAGGAACTCAAGAACCCACTTCCACTGACCATAGCAATATCATGATGTGGATTTTATTCTCTCACCTTCTAGGAAAAGTACAAAGATACTAATATTTTATACAGTTTGTGAAAAATAATGTGATGTTGATCTTAGTTGTATAGTTTCACATGTGCAATAATTTATGAATAACATATGAGTTCTGCTTAGCTAGTGTATAAAAATTATATTATAAGTATTATTATTTTATAATTCCACTACTCCCACCTCTGTTTTTCTGTCCTTATTCTGAGTCTTGCGAAGTGCTTAATTCTGACGACTGCTGTATCATTAAACATTCAGCCAAATCTCACTATTTTCTACCCAAGAGCTGGTTGTGTGATGATTCAGCACCTGCTTACCAGGGGGAGGTCTGGCCTAAGAGATATTTATGTTATTTTTATCCTTTTTATCATGACTTTATCTTTTATCATAGCTTCGTTTCTTTATCATCTAAATTTACTATATATTTTATCCAGAAGTATTTTGCTTTTGCGCCTTTCTGTGACTACGACACTGATCCTCCAAAAACTAATAAAGTCATCTTACAAGGAAATCAATGCTGGAGTTAGGAAATCTTTATAATCCTGATTGAAATGTTTTGTGTCATCCCTAAATCAGGATCCAATCACTTACTTAATAAATGCCTATTTATCACCTCTTAGATGCCAAGCTCTGTTCTAAGTGCTTTGGATAATACAGAGAAGCTTCTGAAGATGATTAATACTCAGTCCCATGCTCCCACAATTCCATAATCTGCCTGAGAAATAATGTCATTATACTACACCACAATCATTTTTTATAATAGATGCACATATTGGATGTTATTTGTATAGTTTGAGGAGGTGATCATAAGTGATTCTCTATTTCTGGGTGGTACAAAATTGGAAAAATTTCATAATGAAGTTAATCTGAATAAAAGTTAAAACAAGTGGAGAAGAAGAAGCGAAGGACTCAGCAATGACAAAGGGTGAGGTGATGTATTTGTTCACCTACTAATTGATTGTTCAGTTGGTTGATTCAATAACCACCAATCAAGGACTTAATTTGTGCTACATACTGCACAAGGCAGCTATAGGAGACATGGTCCCTGCTGCCAGGAATGCCTTGTCATGGCCAAAGTGGGTATGGAAAACAATCAAGGGGGACTCAGTTGAGCCTGGGGACACAGACAAGCACACACTGTCCAGGTGTCAGTGGGGTGGTAGGGCACCTTGCAGCATCACCAGTGTCACAGTTGCTCTAATGCCTGTTCCAGTCATGAAACAAAGAAAAAGCTCAGAAGAGTTCAAGTCTGACTTTCTGAACACCAGCTTCCCAAGGTCTCCCTCTAGTTTACCTCCTACCTCTGGCCCATATTAAAGGGCATTTCCTTTGTCCTAAATTCTTCTCTTTCCCCTATTCCTCTGGTGCTTTTAGTCCTTCCACTTCACAGCCCTCTGTGCACTCATTTGCTGCTGGCATCGGATTCACCTTCAGTCCTGAGTAACAGATTTGTGAAAGAACCCAATTAGAACCCAGTTAATGAGCCCTCTGTGGGCTCCTCTAATAGCCAAATGACTGTTTATTTTCATCTTTTGAATTAAAAAAGAGATTGTAAGTCAAGGAAGAGTTTAGAATAAAGAAGCACTAATTGAATCAGAAAGACACCTGTGCTCCTCAACCTATATTTATTTACGTACTTTTATCCGATGTTGTTTAAAAGGTGCAAAGTGTTTTAAACGTGCTAATTATGTGCCACAAGAAAACAAACTCTCAATAAAAACTAAGAATTAGCCACAGCAAGGAAAAAGAACACGAGAGAACAGTGGCATTTCATAGCCTTTTATCCTGGCGTATTTTCATCAGAAGCAACCATATGAAATATTATTTTAAAAATTGCATTTATTATGATTCTATTGTTGAAGATGGAACCATAACGTGTCACTTAAAATATTTACATATTTGAGTGAAAAATGCTACCCAGTCAAGGAAAAACCCTGAATTGCCACTGAAAAGGCATAAAGAACATCTATTGTGTGTCTTTTCTCATTTATGGGTCCTGAGAAGCAGCTGCTAGGGGTTGCATTTGATGCTAGAATAGTCGGCTGCAATGACCGGCTACTGGGACTCCAAGGTGACAATCGCTTTATTTTAATTGTTTCTAAATGTGCAATGACTGCAGGAGTCTCCAACAATGTGAATATTTAATAACCCATGATTATCGTGTACCCCTCTGCCTTTTATCCTCATCAGAAACAGACACCAGCTGTCTCCTTTTCATAAGAAATCGCCTATTACTGTGAATGAATAATTTGTTGGTAAAATGAACACTTAGAATAAGAGTGTCGCTTCCTACACACCAGACTGCAGAACCATTTGGACCTGGATGAAAAGGTGACATCTCAGGATCAGACACTGAGATCCACCTCCTTATATGCAGCAATACCCTCTCCCACCCCAGAGTGGCACACTTATTAAAACAAATATTTTCTTACCTCTACTAGTCCAAACATCTCACAGAGGGAACTTCTAAACACATGGGATTCAGAAAGATTTATGGTGCTGCTATGAATGCCTGTTTCTCCAAGTTTCTCCTACGTACTGCCCTTTCCAACAATTGTTTATTATGCCGGTGGATGCCACTTTTCAATTTTACCACAGGCGCACTGACTGACATGGAAGTGCTTCTGAAATGTCTCCCTACATATCCCAATCATGCCACAATCAGCTTTGTTATCTGTGATGTGGACATGCAGTCTTGTAGTTTCAGAAATACACAGAAACAATGGGTCTGATGTATATGGTAGCTAGTACCATGGAAAAAATATGTCATTTAAAGACAATTAGTTTGAGTTTACATAGATATCTTGAACATATGGGTCTTCATTGCGAATACACCAAAATGGATTCTGGATGGATTGCCAAGGGATACCAAATGCCTAAGGCAGACAAGAAAGCTAACCATAGACCTACGGCATCCAGAGGGGGATATAGAAGGGTTTGGATGGTGCTGGTGGTGCAGAGAGCAAAATGGGCTATGGTGGAGGACTATGGTGGAGGACTATGCATGCTCTGGTGGTGACCACACCTGAGGGAGAAATCCTGTATTGCCAAAATATTAATAAGGATGTAAAACAATGCTACTTTATTTAAAAAAAATAAACAAACAAACAAAAAGAAGGCATTGCATGTAAAGCATTAAAGCTTAAGTTTCAAATTGAAATCATAGATTGTCCACACTTTGCTTACTATAATATTCTTACAAAAAAAATGTTGACCCAAAATAAAATACTCTTAAAATAAGAAATAGCCTGACAAGTTGCAACATGAAACATATGCATAAAAATAATGGAGCAAATGAGAGAAGTAAAGGAAATGAATGTGAGATAGCTTCATGTATCAGAATGGAATTGAGCAAAAAAGTAGAATTCTTCTTCACGTCAAGTTTTTATTTAACCTTAAAGATATTAAAGAGAAGATAATTTATCGGAGAAAAAAAAATCCAAGAAGAAATAAAGAGAAAGACAATTTTTGGTAGCAGAGGCCAAGAAATGGAGAGAAATACAACACATTTAACAATAAATAAAAGTTGTGTTGGATGCAACATGTTTAAAATAAGTCCAACTCCAATAATCAAAGAAAAGGGGTCCAGGTTGAAGGAGACCATCAAAGTGAAGTGTAGCAAAGAAACAAAAGGCAGATGACTAGCACACAACACTAAGTGAACAGAATAGACTGTCCACATTATCTACTACGTACCATCCAGCATCCTCCCTGGAGTTACTTAACCCCCTGCATCTTAAGATCTTCATCTATAAAGTGGGAATAATGATAAACCTACCTCTTAGGGGGATTCCACACAAGAAATAAGTGAACTTTAACACAGTATCTGACATGCACTAAGAGCCTCAAAAGTGTCATTACACAAAAATGAGTATAAGATCAAAGGGATTCACAATATATGTAAGAATAAAAACAAATTTATTCAAGAATAAGAACAAAGCATTTATTCGATTAAGAGTTTTGACTCTAAAGAATGAAAGGCCACATCTTATTTAGGAAATTTTGATGCAAATTTGTCAGTTCCAAAATTTGTCCTGACAAAGAGACTGAATTTCCATAATAATAATAATAATAATAATAATAATAATAATAATAAAGCAGGCAGTAGACAGAAAATGACGCATCAGCTTAAAATGAGTCATCAAACTACTGTCATTCCATCTAAACTTCATTGGGGAGACACAATTAAACTTCATGACAGAGGTTCTAGAGAGAAAGCAAGCAAGACCCAAGACCAGAAGTGGCAGCAGAGATGGTCTTGCACCCTGTGGAAGAACTAATACTTTTAAGGATAATCTGTGTCTTTGTCTTTTGAATTAAAGTTTGTCCTGCACATTATAGCTTTTCAATATTTGTTATTTTAATCAAATTAAACATATTTCAGAACAAAAGAAGAATATATTTCCATTTAGAAGACAATTTTGTTTGAACTTGGTATCCAGGATACATTTATCTGCATCTCAATGTTTACTAGACGTGTGATCATGAGTGAAGCAAATAATCTGAATCCCAGTTCCTTATCAGTGCTGGGCAGTTTTGCATACCCACCAGGTCTGGAATGGAAATATTTATGCAAACAGCTTACTCTGAATGTGGTAAAGATTATTCAATTTCATGATCTCTGCTCAAATAATGAGTAGCAAAGCTAGGAAGATCTCAAATTGTCTCATTCCACAAAGAAAATGTGCAGGATACAATGTTGTGCAAATAATTGGATAATATGTGTTTTGCACAATAGTCAGTCATTTTATGAAGGGTGTTAATGGCATAGATAATATCCACTATTCCTCTTGAAGGTGTTTTCTCCTAGGGATTCCTACTCTTCAAAATTCAGCATCCTGAAATCATCTTTCTCTTTACACCAAATATCAAGAATATTCTAACCATCTGCCCTTACATGACATAAAGCAGATAGCAAAAGAATTAAGAAATCTTGGGTTTCTAGGAACAGTTGCTAAAAGTAAGGATCTAAGTGAGACCAGATTTTCAATTCCAGGGACACTCTTACAGAGTCATAAAGGTGACTTCACAGGGCCTCAGAAACAGAATTATTTATCTGCCAAGGAAGGGAACTCCAGGCGGTATATGATTTTTCATTTCCTGCTGCTCAATTTTCTAGAACTGGATCCATTAAACTTACAACATAAATTGCCACTCCAATTCCAGACCTTAGCCCAATCTCAACATGGGGTAGAAAATTTGAAAAGCATCTCTCTCCTGGCCCCAAGTAGATCATCATAGAAAGGGTAGTAAGACCTGCATTTATTGAATGGCTTCTGTGTGGTAGCACATTCCCTAACTTATCTCTAATCCCAGCAGGTAGCTTCATTGTCAGTACCTTTGATGATACACTTGAAATTCAATGAAGCTAAGCAACTTGCTAAGCAACTGGCACTGTAGGTCAGCAGGGCATCAAACTTCCATCTACCTGCCTCTGAAGTCTGCATGCTTCCACTCTGCTTTATTACACGTTCGGTTTGGCGGAAGCCCCATCACTTACTGCTGAGTCAACTTGAAAATCACTGAAGCTCTCTGATTTTCATTTTCTTTGTATGTATAGTAACCCCTAGAATGATACCTATGTCATTACTAGATTGCATGATGTAATAATACACATATAATATTTTCTAGCTTTAGTGAGACATGCTTGGCAAATAAAAATTGTATATTTTTATTTATTTATTTTTTTTCCTGATAATGATACCTTTATTTTTTTTATTATTTTTTATTATAAATAAAAATAAAATAAAATAAAATAAAAAAATAATAAAAAAAATAAAAAATAAAAAAAAATAAATAAATTAAAAAATAAAAAATAAAAAATTGTATATTTTTAGAATCACTTTGGAAGACAATTTGGCAGTTTTCTACAAAACTAGACATTCTCTTATCATATGATCCAGAAATCATAAATCTCATTTACCCAAAGTAGTTGAAAACTTGTGTCCACACAGAAACTTGTAAATGGATATTTATAGTAGTTTTATTTGTACTTGGAAGCAACCGAGATGTCCTTCAGTAGGTAAATGGATAAATAAACTACAGTATATCCAGCCAATGGAATATTACTCTGTGCAAAAATAAATGCATAATCAAACCGTGAAAAGGCACGGAGGATCTTACATGCATGGTGCTAAGTAAAAGAAGCCAATTGGAAAAGAATACAAATGGAATGATTCCAAGTGTATGACATTCTGGAAAAGGCAGAACTACTGAGACCATGAAAAGGTCAGTGGGTGCCAGAGACTGGGGAAGAGGGTCAAAGGGCAGAGTTCAGAGGGTTTTGCAGGCAATGACTTCTCTGCATGATACAACAATGATGGAGACATGTCACCATATATTTGGCCAAATGCTTAGAATTTTCCAAACCAAGAGTGAACTTTAATGTAAACTATGGAGTTTGGGTGACTATGATGTATTAATCTGAATCATCAGTTGTAACAAATATATCAATTCCACTCTTGGAGCGGGATGTATATTGATAATGAAGGAGGCTATACATGTGTGGGGGCAGAGACTATATGGAAAATCTCTGATCAATATTCAATAAATTTCATATATATGTAAGTTATACAATTTTGATATAAGTATTCATTGTGAAGTAATGACTATAATAAATTAACATATCTATCATCTTACATGGTGACAGTGTGTGTTGAGAACACTTGATTCATTCTTTTTTTAACACCTTTTCTTTTTTAAAGATTTATTTATTTGTTTATACAAGCACTGGGTACAGTCAGAAGCGCGGGAGGGTGAGAGAATTCACCAAAACCAGAGCAGGGAACAGAACAGGCAGAAGGACCGAAGTACACTGCTGAGAGGAGCAGCGGGTGCGGCAGGAGAGGTCTGCGCACCATGTGGAACCCTCACCAGGGGCCGGGGATCGAACCGGCGCTGCAGAGGCTGCAGGCAGCTTCGCAGCCCAGTGCTCAACCACTGTGCCACCAAGGGAGGCCCTTAATATTCATTCTTTTAGCAAATTTCAAGTATACAATGTAGTATTAATGATAGTCACCACGCTCTGTGTTAGATCTCCAGAACTTACTCATGCTGCATAAGTTAAATTTTTTGATAAAGAGAGCAATTTGTCAAAGGGCATAACAATTGTAAACAAATGAGCCTGGCATTAGTGCACTTACATATACAAAACAAACACAGATAATATTTAAGCAGTTTGTAGTCCATTAAGTACTTAACAAATGTCATTTCTTGTTTTCATTACTATTACCTTTGTCTTTATTGGCTGATGTGAAAATTAAGTAACAGTGAATGTCCCAGGCAGGAAGAAAGATGCTCTCTACACAGTAGGCTCCTTGCTCTTGCCGACAAGGCCTACTATTGTTCCTGAGCTGAGCTCCCATTCAGGCAGGGAGACTTGGCTAATCAGCTTTCCCCCTGAGCCAACGCTGGGAACTGTAGCAGTTTGTTTAGTATCTGGTCCACCCCAGGGAATGGTTCTCCTAGCAGGATGAGGTGTCTAATCCCAAAACCTTATACTATAAGTGGCAGAACATATGGTCTGCTGGTTTCCAGGTATGTTGTAGGAAACTACAGGCTAGATCATTGGTGGCCTCCCAAGAGGAACCCAGGAGAAAGATGCAGAAATGTGTTCAATGCTCTCTCATGCTGATTGTCAGCGTAGACTGATCTTTTCTAGTCTGTTGCTCCAAAACATCATTTAGAGAGAAAACTCATCCAGCTCAGCTCTGTGAATGATGCCATATTAACTCCCGCCGATAATGCCCACATCTGTTAACACATTAGAGACGGAGTTGGATGCTACTTGGAATCACTGTTCAGCAAATGTTTGGCTGAGACATACCATCCTTCCGGAGCGGTTGCTAATTTATCTTTGCCAATCTTTACTAGTTTTAGTTCAGCAAACAAGGATACAGTATCCGAGCTGGCAGCCGGGAAATTCCCAGGAAAGTTCTGATGTCCCAGCTGCCCTTCTGAAACCTTGGCAAGTTGGAAATGACTGGCAATAATCCTAACTTGCAGAGCCCAGCTGTGTTGGGCACACAGCTACACGCAGATGGAGAGTCGGGTTGCAAGAGGGGAGACTCCAGACCTCCCTGCTCCAGGTCAGAGGAGGAGGGGAAGAGGCCTGCCAGCTAATGCGCGCAGAGAGCAGTGCCAGCTGACTCGCGCTCCCTGTGCAAGCACACATCGCACAAAAAAGAGGGATTCAGTCAGTTTTCCAAGGGTTCAAAATGCCTTTAAATCTACATGCAGGGCCTCCCGGGTGGTGCAGCGGGTTGAGCGTAGCGCTTGTGAAGCTGTCCACAGCCTCTGCAGCGCAGGTTTGATTCCTGGCCGGCCAAGGAGAAACCCACATGGCACAGCAGACCGCCCCTCTCTTGCCCGCTGCTCCCCTCAACAGTATGTTTCATCAGTCTGTCTGTTCTGCTCCCCACTCTGTCTCTGGTGAATCCTCTCACCCTCCCGCACATCTGGCCTGTACCCCAGTTCTTGTATAAAAATAAATAAATCTTTAAAAAAAATAAATCTATCCGCAAGGAAGAGGAGAGGAAGGGCTGGTTGCTGGCACCACTTTAAAGCTTGTCAGTGTCTCTGATCCCTTTTGCACCTCTTTCTCCCTCTGCTTTTTATTGCTTTCTGGTCTCAGAAGAGTAGGTGATTTAGGTGGGATTATGTATAATAATTTAGCTAACTCAGTTTGATCATTCCATAGTCTATACATTTAGGATTCTGAAATGATCAGAAGAAACTTTTTAAACAAGTAGGTCAAGCAAAAAAGAAAAAAAGTATACCAAATGACATGAGTGCTCTTAACCCTCGCTGAAAAGCACTTGTGCCCTTAAGCTGAAGTTGAGAACAATGCATCAAATCAAATAAAAGTAATGGAGTTAGAGAGATAGGAGTCTTTCTAAATTTGGATCATGAACTTGACTTTTCTCAGCAGTAGTTTCATCACCTGTTAAAAGGAGATTACAAAAATAGCCTTGCAGGTTGTTGTAAGGTTTAAGTTAAATATACATTTAAAGCAAGGTGAATAACATTCATTTAAAATTTAGTGTGGTTTTCTACTACAAATTTATTTTAAGTCAGTGTTGCTGTTACTGTGTTTTGTTGTCCCTGTTATATCAGGAGAAAATAAGCAGTTGTGTTCCTTTCTAAAGAGATTTAAGGATCAGTAAAAAAGACAACTGTAAAGAAGATATGGCAGGAGCTTTATGCTATGTCCTTGATATCGTCATGTAGTTATTCTCTTATACATCAGGGGCAGTCTGCCCACCAAAAAATCTAACTCTGTCTGTCTATCTGTCCATCTAGCCATCGATCTATCCATCCATCCATCTACCTACCCACCCACTCACCCATCAATCTACATACATCTCAGGGATATGTAGTCTATCTATTAAAAACAACAGCATTAATCCCAGAGATCAGAGAGCACAAATAGCTATGAGACCTTATGAGACCTTAAGGGGTTATTTTGAAAAACTTAAAATCCTTGGCAATCACCAGTTGCTGCTAAAAGATGTGGAGATTGCAATGGCTTAAAAGTCTGACACATACCATTGGTTTCCTCTCTACCTCTCTTTCTTTCTCTTGCTTCTCCCTCCTTCTCTCTTTCTCTCTCTCTCTTTTTTTTAAATTTGAGATCTAAAAGCCTTGAAAAATAAATAAGAAATAACAGGGGTTGAGAGAACTTCTGGCCTCACCTCTCCACACAAATATATTCTTTGCTTATAGGATCTTCTGCTTCTGCGATGTTGACATGAACAACTGTTTGGGAAGTAAGAAAAGTGCCCTCCATGACATGGTCACTCCTGGCTCATTTGTCTGAGTGTTTGTCTATCAGATTAACCTCATACTGTACATCCAGAACAAGGTTGGAGACGAGAGCTCTGTGGGGTGCTTGGATGTATGCGGGATTGGTGCAGTGCCCAGAAGTGCTGGGCAGACAGGCTAGGCAGATACTCAGTGTTGCCTGCAGAGCTTGGTAAATCAGGCATACACCCTAGATCTTCCTATTTTTCTAGAGTGGGGAGCCATGTGCTTTATGGCTGGGCTCAGAGGAAGAGAAAAGTATGGCAGATGGTGAAACTTCACTGGTAATCATAATGGATGCAATATGTCTCTCATGTTTACTGCTGCAAACCCCAATGGGCAAAGGCATGTTTGGGGGGATGTTTGGAAATGCTATTCCCTTCAGGGGCAACCTTTAAAGTCATGTCAGGAAGGCATACTGTGTGGAGGAGTTCAGGGAGAGAGAACATGTGTTCACACACCATGTAGGACTTGGGCCAATGTACAATCTCAGGGAAATCTGAATTGTAATTGGGAAGAAATGATAGAGAAGTTATCACTACACCATGCATTTTAAATGGAAAAATACTGTGGATGCATAGGGTACAGAGAAAGATCTTTGACAATCAACTCAATAGTATTCCCATTATCCACTTGTCTATGAGTTCTTTGTGTCTCCGGGAGCTTAATTTACACAGAGGCCTGAATTATGGTAAGAATTAAATGCAATCTTGTTAATGAATGATTACAAAGTATCACTATAATATTAACATCTTTATAATAGC